GATACCGTTAACGATTTCGAGTGAAATTGATTCAAGGCTTTTCTGTGCTTCGTCTTTGTAGCATGTCGGAGGACTCTTTTAATAAAACGAGGTTCGTTTTAGATGAATTTTCTCTTCTAAATATTGCAAAATCGCGCGTCAAGAGTTAAATCATTTTCAACTATTTCTCGGTATACCGACAGAAATAAACTATTCTTTGAATCTTGTGTGGTACGGAGTAAAACAATTATTCACCTCCCCTTCGGTGAAATAATTAACTAATGCTGAGCTAGTCTGAATGTGATTTCATTAACATCGACATTACCTTTTTTCTCTAAAAATCTGCTCATTGTTGGGTGTTCCAATTGATGAATAGGTCGATGAATAGTTCTTCGTTGATAGTTTGGAGTATCCAAGCAACAGGGGAGCTGGTTTAATAAAAATTTCATCGACTGACGAATCAGCGTGAGTAATGCGGGTTGATGTTACGCCTAATGGAATATAACTATAGAACAATAACAATTTCACTCTAAGATTTCCTTCATGTAGAGGCTTCCAATAGAAGTGTCAATAAAGGTGATTACTGTGTATTCAATAACGGAGTGAGCTCTGATGTTACAGAAGTTGAGTTTTTTTACCTAAGAGATTCAGCCTACAAAACTTCCCTCTATGTTTCATAAAAAGTCTTCATTCTTGGTAAGTGAAACAAATGTTTTCAGACTTCAGCGCTTCAAACACGGTGCAACCATGGGCAATCTGGTTTGTCAAATCAAGGAGACAAATCTGATTACGGAAAACAGGCTGATTATCCATAGTGGCTGAAAGAGGAATAACTCGCTGAATCGCTCAAAACTAAAACAAAAATGCGTGAAATAATGCATTTAAGTGAATGGAATTCATGATATGCTTCAACGTTGGGCCATGCCAGCGAAAATCAAAATCTGAAAAGCTTTTTGAGTCTTCATTCATGAAAACCGAAAAATGGTTGTCGAATGGCCAGGAAAATACCGAAATTGCAGTAGATACAAAACCGAGGCACTAGAAAATTAATTTCAGAAAGAATGAATACCTTTGGTAAGCTATTTCCTAGCTGAACTTTATTCCATGTTTTTAATAATTCAGATTTAGGATTTATGAATTCAATTTGTGTTTTACATCGTTATGCATTTTTTTAAACGCTTAATTTTTTATGGTCATTTTGCATGACCGAAAATTGAGTATGTCAGCCGCTGAAAATTTCAAGTGGTTATATGATTTGGATTCGAATTAAAAAGCGTTTATGTAACGCCACTTTGCATTGTATTCTGAAAAGCAAATTTACTGGAATACAGAGATACCACGGAGATACCTTACTTCTATGTAAACCCGGAAACTTCGTTCTTTTATTTATTCTTTAACAAACTCTTTAACTTTGTCGTAACCAGTAAGCGCCCTCGTTTGTAAGCTTTGGTTGTACAAAAAAACAAACAAGCAAACAAACAAATATCACAGTTTCCATTCGTAATCTGGAGTTGGAAGTTCGATTTTCTGATTATGGCGTCGCGCTCCTGAATTACAATTTTACACCAGCAGCTGAGTGACTTATTGCAATGGGTTTATTTACGTTAACGGACCGTCAGAACTCAATAAAACCGTAATATTTTCTACTACTGTACAAAATATGTTACTACAAATTATAAAACTTCTTATCTTAATGCAATATTAAGAAAAACCAAGTTAAAATTGTTTATCATGAAGTTTAATTTGGCCGCCAAACGCGGCATTCAAATCTAAAACTTTTGAGTGATTAATTTGGGGTCACAGTTTCAGGTTGAGGGGTATCGAGTGGTCCCTTTCAGTTAAAAGTGCTCGCAAAATTTGGCCTTTGCTCGAATTGCTCGCAAAAATTAAATGGTTGCTCGCTTGCTCGTGCTCGCAAAATTTTCGCGACTGCTCGCATGCTCGCCTTATGATTCCCGCTAACATGTGCTCGATTGCTCGAAATTTCGTTAATTCTGCTTAGTAGTTATCTTTTTATAAATATATAAACGATAAATCAGTCATGATATGGTTAAAACGAAAAGGTTGAAACATACTACCTTTGGCTTCGGTCTCTCTTCAACAGTTCAGCTTGTAATTGTTTTGGAGGCGCTTCTGTATTATCTGGAAAACGCGCGAAGCTCCATGACAAGCATTTCGTTTAATGGTTTATTCTTTATCATATTTCATTGTAGCAGGCTTTCTGCTTGAGAGGGGTACAGTTCCGCAGTTTAAATGTGTGATATTTCATCTATTCACTTCTTTCTTCATCATCCGGCTACGGGTATATTACGAAGTCACAACGATACCAGCTCCCAGTTGGCTTGATAGCTTAGTTAGTAGAATACCGTCACGGGTTCTGATCCCGTTCAGGCCTGAATTCTTTAATTTCACAACTACTTGAGTTGTCTGTATAACTGCAATAATCAGTCGTGTTCCTAGAAGCAGTGTCAGTTTGTAGAACTCCTTTAATTTATTCTGCTTGTTGTTGTTTTTTCCCTCAGTAGATTCGCCTTCAGAGCTTGAAGTTAGCCTTACAATTGTTGTTTCTTTGACCAGTTTCCTGGGTATTTTACCCTATGACTTAAACCTTCTTTCGCTTGAACAAGAAAGCGTGGCTGTAACACGATCCTTTTACTAGGAAATTCTGATATAGTTCGACGTGACGGGAGGTGACATAATCTTCTGTGTGGAGACAACATCACTTGCGAACCCTTTGTTGATCTATATTCCCATTTGTTTGAGCAAATTATCAGGGTTTGTAGATCTAATGGATTTTTCAGTGGGCAATGGGAAATAAAATGGACGGAGTCATAATATTTTGAAACAGTGTACTTGGATCGCATTTTGTAGCGGTTTTTTCAAACATCGGTTGAGGGCGCTACGCGCCTCGTTGGCTATCTATCATCTCATATCCAACGCGCGCTCGTGGAATAATTGTTAATTATAATCTGATGACAAACGGTGGCAGACGAAACCCGATTAAACAAAACAACATAAATAAACAACCCTCGGGCGTTTGAGCTTCACCGGCTCAGGGAAATTCTTAAATGAAATGTTGCTTTCATTATTTTGATCAAAAACTAAAGGCCTAGCCAAACGAAGAGACATGTCTAGAAACTATTTCTCCATGTCACGTGGAAACACGAAATGTAAGAATTCTTCTCGAAAGGCACCCGCGAGGGTAGAAAGTACTCAGTAGAGAAATACTACTATTACCAGTACTAGTTGACCTTCAGAGCTACTACTAAGGCTTGTCAGATCTCTAGAAACGTCCAAATAAAAGCATAGTTAACTTCATTGGGTTGAATCTTTTTCAGTCAATCAGCGGGAAACCATGCAGTTTGCCGATCATCGAAACCAAGCCCGAAATACTAGTTAGACCGAATGTCACGTTATTTACACTTCATAAGAACTATATTAGCGTCGGATTAGAAAGAGATGGAAAACTTTAGATCGCAGGCTTTAGATTTAGTACATCTCCTTGAGAGCTCTTGAGGTTCTTGAGCGTCCACCCAAACCGACGCACGTGAAGCTACGTGACGTAATTTGGCATTAAGCAGGGCACAATTGGCTGTTTGAACCGCCCCAGCTTTGCACCCACTGTTCTTTTTTGAAGGTGTCAGCCAGATTGTTAGCTATTACTTGTTGCAAAAGAACGTATCCTATTAATGAAAGAGAGATTCCGGCCAGTGGAAAATTTATGAAGTACTCGAAGTGCTCGCTGCTCGCCATCTGTATTTTCTAAAGTGCTCGTGCTCGCAAAAATAAACACACTGCTCGCATGCTCGCAAATGCCAGCAAAGACCATTCGATACCCCTAGGTTGAACATACGGTATTTAATATCAACTCACCTTTAAAACATTACACCTTTTGCTGTTCATTACGAGAAAATATGCATTCATTTACGTTAAAGGCGAAAAATTGTGTGAAAGTACAATCATTAGGTGTAAACAAGATTCAATAACGATTTTTGCATTATAATCAGCATTCGAGACTGAATTATTGGCATTCTTATGCGTCATTCGTCAAACAAAAGAGAAAAAGATACTTTCATTTGCGCTAACATTCAAGTCATTTACACCATCTTGAAAGTCACTAGAGACAATACACAAACAATATAGTGCATGAACCATTCATTAACATTTTTATCACACTGTTTGCAATTCATTAGCAAATGAATCGTATGAATGAGACAATTATTAATGCACTTGTACAAACAGTGTTTTTTAAATTCAATATGCAAGTAGCGATTTTCAACTGAACACCGATTTTGCCTGAATTTACATTCAGTAGAGTTCGTCCGGTTAAGTCACTTCGAAAAAACCGAATACTACTCTAACACAGAGAGAGAATCGTGAGAGGATTTGAGGACGAGGAGGAAGATTATCTTGTGGTCACGGACTCGCTCGGAGTGAACCGATCAACGGCAAGAGGCGTGTGGCGCGCTACATCAGAGAGGGCAGGCTCCAGGAGAGATCACGAGCAGGTAGAAACAAGGTGCGCGTGGATGATAAGATGAGAGATTGCCCACAGGAAATCACCAACGAATACTGTTTACTCATACTTGCTCGGATAAACTACCACTCAAACCCGAGATCCATGACTGCACCGTGGTAAGGACATTAGGCGTCTTCCGAGTGAAACTTGCAAGCCGAATTTCATCGTATCGCACGTCGTGCAGCTTTTTCGCCGTTAGGCAGTAACTCGGCAGCATCACAACAAATTTTTAACCGTTTCGTTTCGTTCGATCTATGCCGGCCGCTGTCACCAATTGTTGAGATTAAGTATTTTTTAAGTCGTGTTAAAAATTGTCCTGGAGTTTTCCTCGCTGAGAGTTAGTCGCCCATGGCAGTTACAACTATAATCTGTTAAGTTGTCTTTAATTCCAGAATAATTCTTTTTATTGTGGAGAATTCTTTGTATTTAGTGCTATTAATTCTATGTTCTTTTATTTTGTGATTCAGGAAGTTGCAAAACGTCTGACCAAAGGTCACCTCAGAGCACCTTAATAGACATGCGCGTCGTTAGTTGGTGTCATTTTAGCGGGAAGAAGCCTGCATCCAGCTGATGACAGCTTGAAACGATCTGAGCTACATTTGAAGGTTCTGCTAAATTTGGATGCCGGAAAAAAAATAAGAGTGTTATAACCCTTTTGGTTTGTTAGATCCTGAGTTAAAAGAGTCTATCTGTACTCTGACTGTCCACGTTTGAAACACATAACTGGCGAGTAATGTGATACAGGATATACAGACAGCTGAATCGTTCAAAAAAAACTTCATAATGTTAGCGGTGAACCAACATCTCTCTCGCCGTTTTTAAAAGCCGTTTTAGTTTGATCAACGAACCTTTCCGAGGAATGGATCACTGAGTAATTCCATCGGATCTACACTACGTTATTGACAAGCTTTGAACTGCAAATAATGAAGCTTCAATTAACGTATTGTCCAGTTCAGGAGGTTGGCTTTCTACAAATACTTTGCAGTCGAAAGTATTTTAGGGCCATATGGTTGTGTTCTCTAACTGCCTTTATCATGATGATCACTTATCACCTAAGTGAATTCAGAGGAAAGAATTTCGTCGGAGGCAAGTTTAATCATGCGGTATCGCTACTCATAAAGAATTCTTCGTCAAGAAATACAAGCCTAATCGGTAATCCAAGTCTCGATATAAAACTAAGATCGACTATTGTACAAAATACTACAAAAGATGGAACACGTTATGATTGTCACCGTTGGTGTCACAAAACAAACACAGTCGGTTCAAAATATTTTCTCAGCGGAGTCTTGCTTGTACGAATTTACTCCAGTGACTTGGCAAAACTTAGCACAAGAGAACTTCTGCAGTGGCTTTATTACCTAAAATACGCTGGTTTTGAACATGTTTACGTGTACGATGCCTATGTTTATAAGAATGAATCACAAAAGAACGCGCTAGAATTCCTCGTAAAGGAAGGCTTCGTCACATATGTAGATTGGAGTCACAAAGCGTTTCCCTACTCAATAACTGGGACTCAAGAAAGCGCCTATCAACATTGCGTAAAAACGTGGGGCAAGAAATCAAATTGGCAAGCAAGCATCGATATAGACGAGTACCCTTTCTGTCCGGAAGACACCAAACCCAATTTCATACAACGTTTCATAGCTAATTTCTCCAGAGAACAACCCAGTGTTTCTCAGATAACGATGAGAAATTTCTTGTTTCTTGGTAAACCATTTAGCGATAAGGAACGCCCGTTACTTATCGACCGCCTCAAGCGGAGAACACACGCACCGGCTAACGATTTGGTTAAACCTATCTACAAGACTTCGCATATAAAACGTTCTCACGTCCATCACCACGACTTAGCGCATGGCTTTTCAGAGGACGCAGATGAAAGTAAGATAAGACTTAACCATTACTGGGGTGCTAGACTTCAAAATTGGGGAGATGACACGCCAGAAATTTTGTCAAAAACCATGGAAGATAACACGGTAGATGAAATTGTAAGAGAACTGCAAAGATGTGATCATGTTTGCCTACCGGACGAATCCTTAATTCATACAGTTCGCTGGAATTGAGCTATTCTCAATCTGTATAAAAATTGCGCTTCTGTAACGCGTCTTTTTAACTGATTTGTTATGTTTTTGCTTGTTTAAAATTTTCTCGACCACTTTGTATTTATTTTCTTTTAGTTTTAGACTATGATGATAACGATTACAAGACAACGTACGAAATAGAAAAATCAACTAGGTTTGAGTCAAAGGAAAATTGAACCACAACATATCACATTTAATCGATGCTATTAAAATTTAAAATGTCGTTCATTGTCCTCATTGTGTACATTCTGTTGTTTTTAGCCGGACAACATTCAGGCAGGGAAAAAATGCTTTCACCTGTGTTAAGAGATAGAGCTACATAGATAAGAGCTTTATGAAATAATTATTTGATGAATCGGTGTTTCATTAATATAGAAGCTCTGTGTGTCGCCATCTAAAAGATAACAATGAAAAAGGAATGAAACAAAGACGTCATTTTACTAATTGATAATAACTTGAGAGTTTCTCCACAGCTTCAACGAGTTGGATTCTTTTGTTTGTTTTGAATTGATTCAAAATCTCTCTAAAGAAACAGCTGTTATCATCATGTTTGTAAAAGTTGAATAAATAAGAAGCAAAATATGGAAAGTGTTTATTTGATGAAAAATTCAGCTGATAAGATAAAATACCGTTTAGTTTTCAATAGTAGCCTTTTCTGTCGTTAATTTTAATAGGCAGTGAAATAAACCGTCCGCTCTTATGTATTTTCTTCTCGTATGGTTGGTCTGCAGGTGCGCAAGATAAAAAAAATATGTATATCTGTTTTGTTTTGCTCCTGGAGCAGGTAAGATGGGCATATAGCTTGCACTGCTAGCTCAGTCTTGATTGGGTGATGGAACAAACAAAGAAATTAAAAGACGAAACAAATCACAACAAAATAAATAAAGAAAAGGAAAGAATTGTAAAAATATAGAAAAAAGAAACAGACAAAAATTATGTCAGCGTATTTGGGCTATCTACGTAAATAGTCTTTAACTATAGGAAACGTCACTTGATTTTTTTTCAGAGGTTCTTACAGCAATAGAATTGCAAACCCAGAAGCAATGTGCCTTGAAGGACAGCCAGAATATATCACGTACCAAAAATAGTTTCTTAGAATTATATTCATTTTGTAACTCATTGATGTGAATTCTTGGCTATGTCAAAAATCCCTAAATGATCAATGATAGTTCGTTTAAGATTGCTGGGACTAACTTTGTTTTCGTCCTTCCTACGGGATTTTTATAAATAAACGCCAACGGACTAATTGACACCCTTTGAAATTTCAGAGAGGAACTTATGCAAATGTCGCATTTTTCCTACCTTCTTGGGCTGGTTGGATCTTATCAGTAAATAGCTCGTGCCCAGTCTGCTCGCAGTTACACGTTTAAGTGTAACTGCGAGCAGACTGGGCACTTAAAAGTGTTCGAAAGTGACTGCGGTGAGAGAAAATGAAAATTGAAAGGATTTTTCTGGACGGCTCCTCTTGAACATATCGTTGATTTTAGCAAGCATATTTCAAGTTCAATCACGCAATTTCGATTCAGGCGATGGCCCCAAGGAACAGCGAAAATATGTGAACGAAGTCCTAGTTGGAGGACAACATTACGGAGTGAGTGGTATTACTTTCCGATGAGCTCATTTTTTTTCCCTTCCAGCTGGGTTACGATTTCTAAAGTATCACACAGGTCAAAATAGGCCTAAAATATTTCGGTTGGGGAGAACTGATTTCGATTCAAGCGTGAGATTAAATACGTCTTGTGATCAAATTAACCTTGTTCGTTGCACAGCACAGTTGAGTGGGTAACAATTCACCTTATTATATTACGATAAGTGTGTGCTTTGGCGTTTCAAAAGTCCTTATTTTTAATCTGTGTTTTTGTTTTCATGGCTGTGGAAGGAAGGGAGTCCTTATAGGCCATAGTTCGTGCCTTGAACACCTTAAAAAACGCCCCACACAATGCGTGTTCGGTGTGAATGTTTTGCACTATCAATTATTCATAAAAAAAATTAATATGAAATTGTCAATAAAACAAAGGTTTTTTCTGGTAATTATTTCAGGGAAACACTGATGTCTGACCCATGAGTAGCTTGTAACCCTACAAGTTCTTGTTCATATTCCAGGGTGAAAAGATTCCAAAGCCGTGCAATGTCAAGCCGGGGTCTGTCTTTGTTCAGATGTTGTTTCAACAAGCTTAACGGGATCAGTCTATTAATATATGGCATATCTCTACTCGGTCTTTTCCCTTTTCTTTTTAAAAACTACAGGTATTCTTTTTACTATCGGAACTTTTTCCATAACAAAACAACTGAAATGGCATACCATATTAAACAAAATGAAATTCGAAGTGTTGTCGCATCACAGTTTTGGAATACACTTCAAAATGATCCATTCAACTTTACCAAGACAGTTAAAGATGTGGATGTTGATGTCATGATCATCACAACATCTCGGCACATTTCCCTTCCAGATGGGAATAATCCAAGGTTCTTAACTCAAGTTTTGTGGCAGTTTTTTCAAATTCTAAACAGTCCTGAAACAAGTGAATTACCATGGAAAGTTGGTTTGTCAATATGCAATGTGGATCCAAAGCCTTATGAAGAAGCAAAGAACTTCTCTTCTTTGGTGCACTATATTCAGCGTTACTCAGTAGAGACAGATTTGCCAGCTGTTCATATCAAAGACAAAGAGAAGCAAGACTATGCATTTTGTCTGGAAAAGAGCCTAAAATCCAGGCCGAGGTATTCTCTCTTGGTTGAAGATGATGCCTTTCCTCATCCACAGCTATTTCAGGCTTTATATTACCATATAGTGGAGAAAAAACGCGTGATGGGCTCTCGATTACAAACCAACAATGTGTTATTTTATAAACTGTATCATCCCGAAAGACTTCAAGGATTTTGGAGTCTGGAACCAGAACGCTTCCCTGAACTTTTCAGTTTTGGTTGCCTATGTGGAACTTGTGTAACTTGTTTGATAAACTATTTACTGTATTCCAGAGAAAATAGAACTACTGGACTTCACAATTTTTTTAATACCTGGGTATGGGTGGTATTTTACTTCACACTTGCAGCATTTCTTATTGGTAGGCCACATCTAATGCAATTAAGGTATCTGTCAAAATATTTCTTCACTGTTGGCCCCACACCATCATGCTGCACTCCTGGAATGCTCTTTGTTGCTGAGAAAGCAACTCATTGGGTGAATTATATGAAAAGTCATACATGTGGTGTGAATTATGGGAAGGACACCATGTTAGATGACTATAGGAAAAAGTTCAAGGTGCAAGGATTAATTGTGCAACCCAATTTATTCACACACATTGGGTTTTATTCATCTCTCAGTGAGAAATTATTGGGTCCTTCACTTATGTATTATCCACCATGGTTCCCACTCTATTGATACTTAATAATTACTACTGTTAGTATTTATTTAATAAATCTAGTAATATATAGCTGATGAGGGAGTTTATAATCAAGAGTGCAGTAAGCTGAACCTTTAACAAATAGCATATCCTTACAAGAATGCCAATCTTTCAAATCCTTGATTTCATAAAACTTGTATTGTATTTACGAATTTTTATACTAACTTAACTTCTGTTAATTTGAAACAAAAACTGACTTCACTTTCTCTTTTTCTCAAACAGTGTTCACTCACCTCCCCCCACGTTTAACAAATGGTAAACACCACAGCGTACACTATTGAGTTATGGATACACGCGGGAGGTTGCTAAGCACGAAAGAAGCGTAAGAGTCGCTCCAGGCGATAGCCGAGAGCGACTCTAGCTTCTTGAGTGCTTAGCAAAACCTCCCAAGTGCATCCATAACTCAATAGTGTACGCTGTGGTGTTTACCATTTGTTTTATAACATAACATTGATACATTGTAGCTAAAGAGTTCCCTTTTTTTTAACAAATCTTACGTGAACAGAGAAAACAAACGCGCGCGGAAAAATAGTCTTTGCATTTGCTCACGTCAGCAGCGTACACCCATGGGCACATGGGGGACGCTAAATTGACCAATCAGAGCGTGCGCTTTACTTTGGTTATGTTATAAAACTGATTTTTTTAATCTTCCCATACTCCAAAGCAAATTCGTCATCTCCTGAGTTGAGAAATATTGCCATTCCACTGTGACTTAATCAAGTTACTTATGATCACCATGTATTTTGAAAGAGGTTTTAAGTTTCTTCAAATGAATAAAAACCATTTAAATGGCAAAGACAATTAAAAAATTACAATTTTCCAGAAAATTTGATATTTGTCATAAATTTAAGTTTAGAGAGGGCTAAAATTTAAAGAGATTGCAAGTAATATTATACTTTAAATATGTCCAGAAATAAATTACATTTTCATTAACACTGGTACCAATGTGTTCATGAATGAAACTAGTAAATGGAAAGATTAAAGGGAATGACAAAAAGTATATCTTGTTCCTCTCTTATATACAATTATCCAACTTTATTTTGCTTTTCACAAAAAAAGCTAAAGGGATTCTTTTAATTTCAAATATTCTTTCAAAGCATGTCTGTTTGAGAATTTATCATTTTTAGAGATCTCTATCAGAATAAGTGGAAACAAGTTGGGAATTAACTGAGGCTTCCCAGCTTTGTTTACTGAGACTGTTACTAAAAAAAGGAGTGATCCTGTAAACCAGCTGTTGTGCAAGCCACACATATTTTCATCATCATTTCTGTTTTCTTTCTGTAGTCACACATGGTCATCAGTTCTGTTATTGGAGGTGAGGTCCTGATATCTCTATGAACAAAACTAACAGAGACTTCTGTGAACGAGAAAGGCCCATAATGAGAAATCTCCAATAACATAAAGATTGATGGTTCCAGTCCACAGTCAATTATGTACCTTTATCAAAAGCATTTTAAAAGAAGCTACAGCACACTTTCTGTATAGCTCATCACAAAATCCTCTCCAATGATCATAGATGAAAAGTCTGAAGGAAATCAGAAATCTCAACAGCAATTCTGCTTTGTTCTTTCCATTCCTTATAAGTCTCTGTTATCTAAGATAGTAATCAATAGCTGTGGAAAATGCTGCAAATCCAAGGGCACCCATCACAGCTGCTTTACCACCAGCTACACATACACACACAAGAAAAAAAAACATTAGTAAAACAAACCATCATGAGTTATGTTGAAATCTAAAAACATTGATTACAAATTAAAATGGACATTACAGGCCCTCTGATGCAAGCTCGTCACTTATTAAAACTGTTACTGTTTGGTTACAGAAAAACATTGAAAACTACTCAATGTTCAACTTGCTTGTGTATTTTCTAAATCTCTTTGGCCAGGGTTGGAGGGAAGATGTACTCTATGTACTAGTCTAATATTCCTAAGCTTTAAATATCCTAATGAAATAAATCATTACAATACAACTTGCCTCTGAGCCCAATGAGACCTCCTGTGATACCACCCGACAGAGTGCCATTTTTCCAATCACTCTTTCCACGAAACTGTAAAATTTTTGTCAAAGAGAAAGCTAGCATAGCAAAGACTGCATGTTATTGACATGGCTGTGTTTTATATAGGGTCATGAAAGTTTTTGAACCATCCTGACAAATTTTCCTTTACTTTCAAAATGTATTTACTCATTCTCTCTCAATATCTGATTGTTAATTCTCCCCTCTAACTGCTACACATTTCCTTGAAGTTAGTTACAAGAATTTGGTGTTAGATCAAGAGAACAACTTTAACCTGATAAATTTGAGTATTCTCATTATCTGTTTGTTGTGTATATATATGGATATTATTGGGAGAAGTCACATGTTAATCAATTTTGGGTGTTACAGGATTAATGGATTTAGAAAAAAAAAAGGAGTGGTGGGATGGGGGAATGACCTTTTGAAAGGCAGCTCATTTTACAGTAAGGGAATTGGCGCTATTCTTCGGCAATTGTAGAAGGCCACCACAGGATTTGTTATTATTCTCTTTAAACCATAATATTATCCACAGGCTTTTGTTAAAAACACAAGTTCCATACACAGGGGTTTCGTTAAGGGCCAGGCACTGGGCAAATTGACCGGTTGTGAGGACAGTTTTGCCCACCTGATTTGACGGTCTGGAGGAAAGTTTATCTTATAAAGAAGTTCAGTTCAAAGAGTTTTGCCCACCTGTGAAAACCAGTTGCCCTCCTGCAGACAACATTAATTAATGACACCCCTGATACAACACTCAAGTATAGTAGAAATTATTCAGCACACTCACAGATTCAACTAGGCATTCTGTTCCAGAAAACATCAGACCGACTACACCAAAATTTTTGCCATATGACACTGCACGCGACTTCATGTCCCGTAAAATGGCTTTGGCTGACTGATCAGGGACCCCAGTCATAGGGTTTGGCATGGAAGAATCCATTCCAGCAGTGAACAAACCAAAGACAGCACCAAGTCCATAACCTGCATGAAGAATGTATACATTTGAGTAGAGAAATTCAAGTTGTTAAGAACTTGGCTTAGTGAGGACCTCAAATGGACAGAGGTAAAATGAGGTCACATCATTAAGTTATTAAGTGCTAGCCACTCTCAGGAAGATCACGAATCTGACATCACAAGAGACTAAGAAGTCTCTTGTTCAAAGCCTCGTGCTATCCAAACTTAACTTTAATGACTCTGTCACTTTAGGGAAAGACTTGGTAGAAGGGGTCTAAAAAGACAAATTTGCAAGGACTGTGGAAAAAGGGGGTGGAATGTGACCCAAACTCAAACATCTCCAAGTCTGTGTGATGTATGCAGAAGTTAAAATTTTTTATTCCCCAAAGAAAGAAGACAATTATCTATGAGGGTGGTACAGACTGATTAAATTGCTTATAGTACTGCTTAACCCTTTGAATCGCAAGATCTGATGGTTAATTCTCCCCTCTAACTGCTACACATTTTCTTGTAAATAAGTTACGAGAATTTGGTGTCAGATCAATGCAACAGCTTCTACCTGATAAGCTTGAATATTTTCATCTCTGTTTGCTGGATAATGTATGGGTATTAAATGGGAGAAGTTACATGTTAATCACCTCTAGGAGTTAAAGGATTAAATGCATTTTCAAACAGCAAGACATCTTCCTACCTACAACTCCGGCTAAAACCGACTTGAAAGCACAATTTTCCATGCCTCTTTCCACCATAAGTTCCTGTGGAGTTCTAATTACATTTGGGAGTTCAACTGACGGAACAAAGGGAGGCCTTTACTTTCTTGCCTCTTCAATAGCTGGAATGATCGAACTCAATGGCAACTGCCCGGTGTTTGGCAATAAACTTTCTTGCTTATCTTTCGCCGATGAATCCGCCATGTTGAATCGTGTGACTTGGTCCCAGTATTTCGCAACTCATAATGACTGGAGAAGTCTGGAATCACTGACGTGTCTTTGAGGAAGTCCTGACAAGATGGCGTACCAAACTTTTCAACAAGAATACATGCAGATGCCCGTGGTTACACGGACTTATACAACTGCTTGTGTTGTAACAACACTTGCAGTGGTAAGGATAAACATGTAGATAAAGTTTCGGTCGCTTTTCTTTACATGCAAGGAAGAGAATGGTGAAATTTCTCGCTGTGCAGGGGAATGATTTTCATAACCTTTCCTATATATTGCTTTTGTTTGTTCATAGCAACTTGAGCTGATCACTCCGTTCCAGCTTTATTTTAATCCTGAACTCATATTTCAAAGATTTCAGGTGGGTCTTTTTTTACGTTTCTTTCGTGTAATTACAACGTAAATGTGAGACACGTTTTAATTTCCAAAAAAAAGTTGTATTTTTTAGTTGAAAGATGATATTTTTTCAGTGAAAATAATGTGCATATTTGTGTTATTTTGAGCTTGATAAGGTGACGTGTACTCCTCTTTAATTTTGATTTAAAATATAAAATAGAGAAAAATTAAGATTGTAATGAAATTAATATTGATGTGAAAAATAAAATTGTGTTTTATTTTCTCTGCTTTAATTTCAGTTTTGGAGACTGGTAACTAATTTTATGTTTTTTGGAACGATTGGATTTAATTTCCTCTTCAACATGATTTTCACATATCCTTTTCTTTTATTCTTTTAAGTTTGTTAAGTTACTGCTGAAATGGTTTGAGTTGAATACTTATGCATTGATACTTGAACAAATATTTCCAGTGGTGTAGGGTGGTCTGTACTCTTATCAAAATATTGGGCAAGAGTACCATATAACCCCATAGATTAATTATGCATTCAGAATAGTAGACTTTGTTTTAAAAGTTTTGTCGTGAAAGACAAAGAAGTGGAATGCATAATTAATGTATGGGGTTATATGGTACTCTTTCCTCATGCCAAATATTAAAAGTGAAATAAAATGACTCTTTCAGTGTGTGACATGTTACAAGATACAAAGAAGCAAGAAGTGTTGTTTGTACTTTTATCAACAAAGGCAACTTGGCTGATCAGATTGTAAAATTACCTTGAATTGGGGTAAAAATGGCTATTAACCCTTTACACCATAATGCCATTAAGCATATTCTCCATGCTTCTCCTTATACAACTTTTCAACTCACTAGCCAAGTGGCTAATGACATCTTAGATGTTTCAACAATTTCAGTTAGTTTACTAGCCAAACTGGCAAGTGGAAATTGAAAACCACTGGCCAAAACTGAATTTCTACTATTCTGTGGCTGGTTGGCTACTGTTAGCGTTGAGCCCTGATATTAGAGATGAGGAGAATCTCAATCATGTACCTCTCCACTTGATGATCATTTCCTACATTTTCATGACCTTAATCTTTCAAGATCCTACTTGCTCTTATGGGTTCCAAGTTTAAAAGTGTTTTGCCATGATTATGATAAATGAAAATTCCTTGACACTTGAAAGATATCGCTACTGTAGAATGCTAGAGGAAGGGTCATTCCGTGGGCGAACTGCAGATTTTGTTTTCATGTTCATGTTTGGTGGAGCTATAATGACTGTATCCTTTATGAATATAACATCAAACCTGTAGAACTTTTCTCGGAAAAGAGCATATGAATTATTGACTGCGTTAATGTGAGAAATAAGCATATTTGACCGAATAATAAAACGTCATTATATGTTTGTAACAGGGTGTTCTATTCCAGACATTTTGCTTTCATTTGATATTTCCTTGACACCTTGTCATTAGGTGATTGCTTTGTTTGTAAACTTAGTTTTTCTAGGTCAGGCTTTTACCATAATGTTAGTGTACATCTGGAGCAGGAGAAATCCTTTTATACGAATGAACTTCTTTGGTCTTCTTACCTTCAAGGCACCCTACTTACCTTGGGTGCTGTTTGGTTTCTCCCTCATGTTGGGAAATTCTGTCATGGTTGACCTTATTGGTAATTTCACTTAGATTTTCCTTATCTTTCCTTCTTGGAATTTTGATATTCTGTGCCAGTAACATTTCAAGTATGTTTTTAGGGAGCATGTATTTTATTTCTGCATATAAACCCACACACATTACCTACAATTCCTCCATTCGCTCTGACGAAGGGCTAACGCTCGAAATGTCAGCTTCTTATTAATTCTTCATGGTGGCCAATTTACAATTTCAACTTTTTACCAAATTACCTTGTTACCCCCACCAATGCAGCACCACAGTTTCTTTAGAATCTTACCCCCTTTATTTATAAGAAATAGCTTGTCAAACTGATCACTGTGAAAATCACAGTTGTTTTGTGATATTTCCATGTCTTTGAAAATTCCATGAGAAATTCAAAATATAAAATTTACAAAATAATTGACTTGTCTTCATGTATGATTGACGCATAGTTTTCTGTTAATGAATCAGTTGTTTCAACCAGTTCCAGTTAATATTAACGTAAAGTTAACCGGGACAGTTAGAAAGCAGATGAATTGATTTAATTAATAATTTTTTGTCAAAAATTGGTTTTCTTTAATTTTCCACATTACTCTTTGTTTGATGTCTATGCAGTAGAAGGACCCTAGTGAGTTAGAAATACTAAATGCATTATTGCTGTTTTCATATTTGGAAATACCTGAAGGCTGCTACTCAATTTTAACCTGATTTTGGAAGCATATTGCTGGCTTCCCTCTCTTCATTCGAGTAAGAGTCCTAAATACTCATTGTTCAGCTGATATTTTCTGGATCAATCATTTTTTTAGCTGACAAGTTTCTCTTACTTTTGCAGGTATTGCTGTGGGTCATGTGTATTATTTCTTGGAAGATGTGTTTCCAGAGCAACCAGGGGGGTTCAGGATACTCAGAACTCCAGGAATCCTGTATGAAATATATTTAGAAACACCCTATACTGCATGATTTTGATTAAATACATACTCTCATATTTTTTATTTATATTTTCACAATTCAGTCCATTTATTGTCTTGTAGCATTCACTGAGTGATGATAAAGTTCTCCTTTTTTCTAATGATGACCATTTAAGTCATTTCAATTGATCTTCATACGACATATCATATGCAGTTGCACCAAGCGCAAATCTGGAAGCTCATCTTTGGACTTTTTCTTGAGTAGCAATGTCTTTCTTTAGATGTGGTGACCATACTGCGGAACTGTATTCAAGGATTGGCCTTACAAGACTTTTGTACAATTTAGAGAATAAGTCTGGGTTTTTTGGTCCAACAGTCCGTCTAACAAAGCCAAGAACACTGTTAGCTTTGTTTGCACATTTGGTGGCTTGCCTTTAAAATATCCCAGGAGAAAAATATGTCTAGGAATGTAAATAGGATTAAATGTATATCAAACAAAGTTTTTTCCTGGAATGAGAGCTGGATTGGGGTTTTGAATCCCCTTAAAGGACTGAGATTTTTGTTCTCCCACACTTCTCACTAACATCAGTTCTTCATTTCTGAATTGTTTGTAGGAAAGCCATCTTTGATGCACCCCCTGAGGATCCAAACTACCAACCCCTACCAGAGGAAGACAGGCCTGGTGGATTCAACTGGGGTGAGGGACAGCAAGTGGGTGCCGCTGCTGCTGCTGCTGATGCCGCTGCTGCTGAGCAAGAGGATTGACCATGGCAATGGAAAAAGGACAGCTTTCCTCATCATTTCATCAGTGAACAATTTAAATGTGTCATGTTTGCACATGAGTAATAAATTCTTTCTGCTCAAGACTCATTAAATGTCTGTACTCCTGATGTCTATCAAATTTGTGGGATGTTAAAGAACCCACACACTCCTTGAAAAGAGTAGGGCACATAGTGCCCGGTGTTGTGGTCTATCTTTGTGCAGTGTCTATCCAGGGTGAATTGGGGGGGAGGGGTGGTGCCTCGCATGGACCTTGTGTTCCGTTTGCACGAACCCTTCCGGGTCTAGTCACACCCAGTAAAGTCATTAAAACAAAACAAACAAAACAAAAATCAACTTGGTGACACTTATGATCTCCTGGTAGATTGAGAATTGTTTACTGTGTCTATAGGTCAGAAGTAACAGATATGTATGAAAGCAATGTATAGGTTAAAAATAATCCAACTAAGATTAATTAAAAGTGATTTAGAAATTTCTTTATAGAAAAATGTTTAACTGGTCATTATTGTTATTATTTAAGGCTTACTTTCTGTGCATTTAACTTAGAATAGTTCCTTTCTCCAGGATGAGTAAGGCAGTAAAAAAACTTAGTCCTCATCTTGTATGGTAGACTTACATTTGATTGAAGTAAAGGTATTGAATCCTCTAAACTGTTTGATGTGGTAATAATATTACCTTACCTTTATATTTGTACAATACAAATCAATAAATGTTATTATTAATATTATTTATCTCACATATCGATATCGATAATAATGGTATACTAATTATTTTTGCTGGTTTTGCTCATGCCAGATTCTTAAATTTAGTAAGTTTTGCATTAGAAATGCACCTGTGAGCCACAATATTGAACAGAGACCTAAACATTCATTTACAAGTCAAATTTCACACAAAAAACCTCATAAAAAGGCACTGAGTATCATTTTCATGGAAAAACACATTTTTTCTTTAGTTCCTTTAGTTTAAGGTTACTACAAATGAGCAGGTCAAATTCTCTGCATGTGCTAGGGAAGGTCTTTCAGCTAACGTAAATGTGGTTTCTCTTTTTTTTATTCATCATACATTTTAGTCATACATTTTGCTTTGGGTTCAATAAATGGCATGAGTATTATCAATTAAATGTTTCTTAATTTAGTTATCATCAGAGATCTTACCATACTTTCTGTTGGTTCTACATTTGAGGAAGGAGTGGCTTGTCTTCTTACTACAAACAGAAATATTACTTGGAAAAGGATTTTTCAAGTATCAATGTTACATTACATTACATTTACATTTTTACATTTATACAGCGCAGACTTCTATGTGGATATATTCAGTCACGTTAACAGTATTGTAAGGTTGAGATCGGACATCAGCATTTTTATCAAGAACCTCTGGCAGCCACTTCAGTCCATGTAGTGATCTCACCTTCCTACCCATCCACCCCGGGGAGGACATCCACTACACAGTAATCGCGTGCATGGGAAATTTTACATCTCCTACCCCTAACCCAGCAGGAGATGGGACCTATGGCTTTACATCTTATCCGAGAAGACAAAGCAATGAGAGTGAAGCATCTTGCTTAAGGACACAACGTCATGCCCCAGCCAGGACTTGATCCCCAGGCCAACTGACCCACAGTCCTGTACACTGACCTCTGGACTACTCACGCCTCACTAGAAAAAGGGTATGGAGATAGAGGGAATGCCAGTCATTAAGAAATTTGATTCAATAACCCTTCAATGAATTGGATTGTCAGCATTTCCTTGTTTCAAATTTTGTAAAATTTGAATGTGATGATCAGTACATTTCTCAAACTGATTAAGACATTAAACAAATCCATTAGTTAGTAAAAGTTCAATTGAGTTAGACCCAACTTCTCTTACACTGTAAGTAGTTTAAGAGGAAATGTATTGCACATGGAGAGGAGATTTAAGAATGAGTCAATCTTGGGAGTAGGGGAGGTTCATAACAAGTGTATGCAAATTTGCTTGAAAATCTCCCCACCTTTTCACTTAGAGGAAACGCTCAATAAGACACATCTGGCTTGATAAGGAGAATTTCACAAACTTCTGGTTAACCCCTTAAAACCCTTGGCTAAAATCAGTATGCATAATTATTTTCCATACTGTTCCATACACAATTCCTAGAATGCTGACTAGGAGAATTTCAAGTCAAGTTTTATTGTGCATATACACTTAGCTTCTGTGAGAACAATCTCACCAGCTAGCTTGCAGCTATAACACAGAGAATAAAAGTAAAAAGAACTAAATTGACAGAGATAATACCATCTACAGTAACTAGGATGATGTAAAATTAAAATTAAGATTTAAACTATTTACATAACACTAGATATAACATTTTATAAACTGAAGAAAGCTAAAACTAATTGAAGATACAGGGTATGATGACTCTATCAAACCTGACAAGTCAAGTTTTCAACTAGTGTTTTTAAAACCTTGAAAGAATGAATAGTTCCATATGAGTCAGGTATTAAGTTCCATAGTTTTTGCACTATGAATCTCCACAATTTTTAACTGTAAGTTGTAGTGTTAGCCCTTGGCAGCTTTAAACGCTGTTTCCTCTAAGGTCGTAATGGCTGTTTCTATGTCTGATCAGTTCTTTTATATTTTTTGGTGCAATTGATCACTGTTTACAGCTTTGAAAACTGTGCAGATTATTTTTGCAAGGCATTGATTAAAAAGTGATGGTAAGCCTATTTTATCCAGTAGTTCACAGTAGGGTGTTTACAAACACAAACAAGGGTGTCAAACAAGTTCAAACAAGTTCGTGATCATTTCCTTTATTGTTGTAACCTGAACGTTTGATTAAGGGGTGATGTAATGGAAATTAGATGTTAATCCCTCTTAAAAGGTTAAATGGGAGAATCATTCAGACTAAAAGAATGTTGCAACTGGCTGAGGTGGTAGTTCACACATTGATACCATCCCATCATCCATGAGACCTTTTCTTCTCTTTTTTTTTTTTTTTTTTTTTTTTCACAAAATATGCTTGGTAAAGTAAATTTATTTANAAGGGTAACCCTAGTTATTTCATCCTTTCACTTCAAACCTACAGTATACCTATTCTGAAAAAATTGTATGGCTATAACCTGTCAATTAAAAGAATCAAAGAATGTAAAAGAGATGCATTTATAAGTCACAAACATTTATTTAAAAGATTTACAAAATGTCTACAACAGTACACGTAATCAAGTTGGATCTTGCTGACACAATAGGAGTGTAGAGGGAAGTGCAGTTCAGTGTGATTATACACTGCCACTTTAAACCTCTTTTTCACATAAAGAAAAAGTCACATGCATACATCAAACTGAAAATATAAACTGAGATAATGTCACTTTATTACAGTTCAGTAAAAAGCAACTCATTTGTGAGTAATCATAGCTACCATGTCTCCTCTTGAATTTTTTCTATAATTCCTTTTTTTACATTTTTGACAAACACAGGTCAAACATTTTCAAGTTTTCTTTGTCTAGATGTCTTTTTATACTCGCAGTGACACCTAATATATAATATCGGCCAATGGATTATAAAAGAAAAACCTGACTACAAATGATGATGAAATTTTTTGATTATACTGGTTTCTTGTACTCAATCCGCTCCACCTTTACATCATCCTTGATAAGCTGGTACACATATGTTACAATGGTACCTCCTTGAATGTCCATTAATACAAATGATGGTACAGTGTCACTGCAATAGAGAAAAAAAGATAACTTTGACCCAAAATCACCATAGGTAGTTATCACTGTACTCATTAAGTACAGAACAAGTGTTATTTTTTGTGTGTGTTGGGAGCACAAGGTGAGTGCAGGGAAAGCTCAAAGGGTGATAGGTGCTCAGAAAATGCTTTTTAAAATATTTTTTAATAACAAAAAATCTTTTCCATTTCATTTAATTTTCATAGTTTTACCTTTAAGTTAGTTCTTCATTTTTTCATTAATTCTTTGGTAAAGAGGGGCTCCAAGTTTAACATTGCACAAAATTGCCATTTGGTGACTTGCCATTAATGAAATTTTATTCTCCAGAAAAAATAATATTAATAAAAGAAACAGACACAGATTTTTGTGCCACAGGTCACAATCTTTTCTTTAAATGTTTATAAAACTACTGTTATAGTA